TGGAACAGTAACTCTTTTCTGTCCACATCCCTGTGATTTCTCAATAACCAGCTGTATTGATTCACTGCTGAATCCCTAGTATCTACAGCTAGAGCTGGCACATAGCAGGTATACATATTTTAATGAATGATTAAGCAAGTTAGTGAATGAATTTAAATGAATTCAATATCAGTCTAGGAAAATCAGGCTTAGCTATCACTAGGGGGGTGTTAATATGGGAATGCCTTGGTTAAACAGTACGTTATTTGAGGAAATAAAAGAAAACGTCTTTGTGGAGTCACTGATCTAATTTCAAACTCAGGAAGCTTCTCAGCATCTAATTCACTGCATTCCCCTACTTCTCCCCTTGACCATGTCAGGAGGAGGACATATGCCAAAATCTCACGGACTTAAATAGATCCAACATCTGAAGCCAGTTTCACAGAACACAACAAATACAGAGAATGTGTTCTGTGACCAGCATGAAAAACAAGCCAAATAAAAAATTTAAAAGTATCTGGCTCAGACTTGCCTGAAAAGATAAACATAGAGTATTATATTCAAAGAAAAGGAAGAATGGCTTGAAGCATTCCTGTGGAAAGAGATGAAGTCTGTTCCAAATTCCATGATACCAAAGAGTACTTCTGGCAGGTGAATTTAATCACTGTTCCACGTTACTAACAAGAAAACACTTAGAAGGGGGTCATCAAGTTAAATCAATATTTACTTATAGAGCTCCTACTGAATACCTGACTCTCTACTGGGTGTTGAAGAAAATAAAATTTAAAATACACATGATGGTCTGCTACAGGAAGTATAAAATCTGTCTAACAGAGAGAAGAACTAGCACTCATGAGACCATCAGCACACAACCCCAGGAAGGCTACAGCGTGAGGGAGTGTGGGACATAGTATTTGATCTATGGGAACTCAGCAGCAAAGTGCGCAGGTGCGAGGAAGCCTTCTTGAGGAGAGTGAAGTTTGCTCAGGGTGTCAAAGCATGCATAGGACCTGTACGAACAAAAAGGAAGTGAGAGAGGTCTCTTCCCCACCCCCAGAGGCCTGTCCATGGAGGAAGCACGATCACAGGCAGAGAGATGAGGAGTGTGGTGTGTGATGGGCATTAAGGGGGCCAGACATCCTTGCAGACAAAACAGTGGGATTGGTAAAGCAAAGCAGAGCGTGAGTGCCAGTGGGGAGTGACCATCAGCCCCTAAGAAGGGGCACGGCATAAAGGGTAGTTTAGGCAGATTAATTTCCCAAAGCCATTTGAGATCTCAGCTTCAGAAGAATGGCCCCTGAGAAAGAGAAAAAGAAACAAACTTACTGCTTTCCTCCACGTGGCCTAGGGCCTCTTCTTGGCTGAACTGAAGGGTCACTACAAAGCAGTGTGCCCTAATATCTTGTTAGTGAAGGAGACTTCCAGGAAAAGAGAACCCTAAATCTTCTTCCCTGTCTCCCTCCTTCTATCTCTGGGGTAAGACTGCACATCTAGGCACTCACCCAAGCAAGGGGGTAAGTGAGTATCTCCGTCATGGGATGAATCCCAGGGGTCTAGAATCACAGTAAAGCAAAGCCTCTGACTACAGTGGTGGGCCCTCCATGACTCCCTTAGGTTCAACAAAATATAATAACGAGAATGACAAGATTTAAAGCGATCTGGGAAGTCTCCCAACACTCTCACGTGTTCTGCAGGGCTCAGCTTGTCTCTCAAGCACCAGTGCTTCTCACATTTTACTACAAGGTTCACAGTAAGTTCTATCAATACCCTCACCCCACCAAAAAAAAAAATTTCTAATCTGCTGCCCAGGGAAGCCAGATAACAGGCAGTCTGTTCAAACCACTTCTGCTCTATTTGGCATTCAAACTACAAACCACCTATGGAATTTGAAAAACAGCGAATTGCAGTCTATAGATGTTTAAAACTAATTCTTACCTACGTAGATGTTTCAGCTTATACTCCAGAGGCCCCCAAACAATGGTGGCCTCTCCCCAATAGTTCGCTTGACCCAGAAGAATGGACCCAATTCCGGCAGACACTTCTTCAGCAGCCATTCCTCACACTGAGGTCCCATTGTGCCTCTAGGCAGCCCTACTGGACAAGGCCTAATATGACCACATGCTAGCTCACCTTGGGTGGCTTACATCTGGCCCACAGGAAACCCGTGCACACACTTTGTCTCAACAAACTCTGGGAGTGCTGGCCAAACCCAACACAGAAGCACAAGTTCCTCGCAGCTAACCGGTCTGAATCTCATCCTCTGGATTTCGCAGGTGGGTGGCAGGTGCACGAAGTTCCCTCCATCCTCCAGCCTCTCTCCAGGTGGTTGGATTGAGCCCCTTGTCCTGTGCTTATGGCAAGAAGCAGGTCTTCTGAGCCCATCTCTTTGGTGGGAAGGGGACACAGCACACCAACAGCTCTTTCCAAAGAGATCCACTTCAAGATTCTCAAGCTCTGCTTTCTTAACGCTCCTATACTTCCTGGAAACTTCCAATTTAGCAAGTGGCTCTCAGCAGCCAAATTAAATCAACTTTCAGACATCGGTGGCCCATAGGTTAAGGAAGGTCTTCTCAAGTAGTTTAAATGTATCTGTATTGTCTTTGGCTTATATTTTCCATCTTTGAAAAGGTTTACTTGGATTTAGTCAGTAAATTAAGAAATGCACAGATGGTCAGAAGGACATTAGTAATTATCTAGTTCAGCTTGCTCATTTTACAGAGGAGAAATCTGAGGTCTTGCAACAATTACCACAAAATGTACAAAGGGATAAGTTACTGTGTATTTACTGTAGTGCTATTAGAGAGGACTATAAACATGCTTAGGTGTCCTGGGAACGCAGGACTGGCTTCCATTTCATACTGCATAACCCACTGTGCAGGCACTGCCTAGTGACACTTGGCACACTGACCTTCCCCCTATGGGCTCCCTCCTGCATCATATGGACTGGAAGGCTAAAAACTACATTTCTAAGACTTCCTTGCAGTTACGGCTTGGATACAATTTAGGTTTTCCCATTGAGATAGACATCTGGGGTCAGAAGGAAAGGGAAGAGGAGGCTAAATCTCTGTGCCCGTGTTGATCAGCAAACGTGTTCCAACAGATCTGTTTATATCAGCCAAACTCCATACCTCACCCTTTGGAGGCATCTGTGGTGGCAGTAGAAGTTTCCTGCCTTTGGGTGGTTTCTCTAGTGGTGTGACCTTACACGCCCTGTGGCAGCCCCTTGGTTTCTGCTCCTCTGGCCCTTCTGTCAATTGCAAGCACCTAATTCCTTGTGCTGTATCCGTCTCTTTGTGAGATGGAATGGTTTCTGCTTCCAGGACTAAATCATGAGCGGTATGCATATAAGCCATAAACATAAAATCTTAAAGACAGAAGGACCTTCTTTGAGGCATTGAGTCTATAATCACTCAGCAAGTCCCAAAACATCTACTTCCTAAGTATCTCTCATGCCCAGTCTCTATTCTCCTCTCCCCACAACACTGCTCTTATTTAGGACCTCCACATCTCTGCCTGGACAACTGAAATAACCTCCTGGGTTTTGGTACCCTTGACTGTAGTCACTGTCCTCTCTAGTTCCCATGTGAACCTGATCTTTCCTGATCTTGTCACTTCCTTGTTCAAAATTCTTGAAAGGATCACCATAACCTAGAGGATGGTATCCAAACCCTTGAGTGCGGCTCTTCGATATCTGTCATAACCTGGGCCCTGCACGTTTAGTTCTTCTGCTATTTCCATCACCTCATGGCTCAGCAACACAATTAACTGTAGCTCACTCTATCATGTTCTCTTAATTTTCTATGCATTTGCACATATTTTTCTTTCTGGCTGTTGTGTGTTCCTTGCCCATCATCTACCTAACAAGCATCTATTCTTCATTCAAGACTCGAGTCTCTTCTCACTTCTTCTTGAAGCCCCTCTTATTCTTCTCCCAGCTGGACCTAAATCTTCCTGCCTGAGTGCTGGCATTACACTGAAATCACATCTATACTGTGATGTTGGCCATCTCTCCATTAGACCGTATGTTTCTAGATGGAAACACTGTGTCTTCTCATTTTGAACCTCCCAAAAGACTACTGTGATGCATGGTAGACACTCAGGGAAGTGGAAGAAATGGAATGAGGGAAGAAGAGGAAGAAGAAAGTGTATAGAAGCAGGAAGGGTGGGTATAGAAGTGAGAGGGAGTCAGAAACAAGATTCAGTGACTTCCCAATTCTGTCCTCCGGGTTCATGAGTTTTACTAACTCACCATCTCCAAGAGTTAGCTCACCTCCTCAAATTAGGCCCTCCTAAATTTCCAGAAAATTGAGCTTTTTTTTTTTCACTGTTGACACAACAAAACCTTTCATTATATTCCAGGTGCATAGTCTTTGTTTATATATTCTATACCTCTAAAGCAAAAAAGAAATGAAAGCAACATTGTTCCTCTCATCTCCCAGGGGTTTCACTTTACAGCTTTGGTGATTATATATCAGTTATCGTTTTATTTTTTGGAACTGGGACAACAGACCTCATTCTTGCTCTTACCCTATTCCTTTCTTTCTCTGCTCCCCACTACCCCTGCCCTGTTCCCCTATCCCTACCACACTCAGTCCTTCTCTTCCAGGTTTTACCAGGACTCTACATCATAAAAAATACAAAGAAAAAGGAATTCTTACTTTAAGAAAAATAACTCCTCCCCCTTTTCCTAATTTTGACATCAACAGACACTGTTAAAAGCCATTCTATTCTACTCCTGGAGAACTACAGGTTCTCTGGGGAGAGAAGGTGGTTGAGTTTGAGTAACAGCCAATCATTCAGAGTGAGTAGGGGTGACTTGGCACAGTGGGTTTCATGTAGAAGCCGGAGTTCTAGTTCTGACTCCTTTACTTGTTTTCTCTGAGACCCTGAAGAAGTAATTTCCAATCTTCTTGGAGTGACAATTGCTTCATTTGCAATTGAGAGCATTGGATTGATGATTTCCAAGGTCCTTCCTGCTCTAGGGTTCACTGACTCTGCTGTTTTTTGGTGTCAGAAGATCTTACTGTAGTAAAAGTAGTAAAAATAATGAGCATCAACTCTTAATGTGCATCTGTGTCTTCTTGTGTTAAGGTGAGGATCCCAATGTTTAAACCTCAGCTGATTATTTCTACTGAACAATTTCAGGCATTCAGGGACACTCTTCTGAAGAAGTCTGTCCAGATCCTCCTACGGGCGACCATGGTGAAGAGAGTGGCCATCATTGGAGCTGGCGTCAGTGGCTTGGCCTCCATACGTTGTTGTCTGGAAGAGGGGCTGGAGCCTACCTGCTTTGAAAGGAGCAATGATGTTGGAGGACTGTGGCAATTCTCAGTGAGTAGAATAATAGAAGGTTGATGGGTTACTTTGAAAATCAATTGTGATCTGTTCTAAATCAGACTCAGGAGGTAGGTCACAAATGGTCCAGATCTAGAAAGTAAAATGTAATCTGTCCCATCCCACTGAAGTCCAGTCACTCACAACTACTTCACACCAGCAAGGTTTACCCTGAAAAGGACTCCTCCAGCTCATTAAACACAAATTGCTAGACTGTAAAGAGTGCTAATGTGGGTAATTAGCAAAAAGAATTTATACACACACACACATATGTATGTATATATATACCATTGCCTCCCACATAACTTGAAGATTCTATCCCAATTGCTCTTAAATCTTAAGAACATGGGGAGGGGGTTAAAAAAAAATAGAAAAACCTAGGCTGGAGTCAGAAGTCCTGAGTTCCAGTCTCAACTCTGTTTTTATAGGCAGATAGATTTTGTCACTTTTTTCTTTCCAGACTTCAAATGCTCATTAGTCAAATACAGAGGTTGGAAATTATATTATCTCCAATCTGCCTCTCAGTTCCAAAAGGGTGATTTTATAATTAACTCATGTCCATTGGAAAGACATTATAAGGTTATTATAAGTTATTATAAATAGTGACGGTGTGTGCTGTGTGTATGCTTATTAAACACTGTCAGCTCCAAATCCAGAGAGAAAAAGAATTATCTCTGCCATTCAGACTGATTGCTAGAGGAATAATATAATCAGGAAATATTCATTATGAATACAATTTTTAAATTTTAAAAGCCAGGTTTGGGAAAACGTCAAGCTTTTCTGTCCTGAACTTCCCAAACATTATGATTGGATGTAAATGATATTTATTTGGCTTGAAGACATTATATCCACATCATTCACCTTGCAACCATATTCTGTCCTGCTCTCAGTTATTGCTCAACCCATAACAGGTTCCTCCAACCAAGTATATCAGTGCTAACTTAGAACACAGTCATATTCATTTTAAGAGCTTTTGTAAAAATAAAAGGGAGGGGCTCCTATAACCCTGAAATTATTACATGAGAAAAAGATCATTAATTTTTATTTACCATTAGGAAGTAATCAAATTTTTTTTTAAGAATTCAGTTTTTTTAGTTTACATTTGCTTGGGGGATATGACTAGCTTAGTCTCAATCATGAAGTGGTTGTTTACTATCTTATTAGCAACAACCAGATGCTACTTGAACACCTCTTTTGGCAGAATTTTGTGCTAGGTCCTCATATTACAAATATGAGCCATAATCGCTTGACGTAAGTGGTTTCTACTGCACTTGGTATAGCAAGCCTTATATAGTATAGGTCAACAGTCCTTTGCTAGAAAATGGGGGAAAAAAACTCATTTAATAGCAAAACCTGTCCTGAAGTCATATGGTCAGAAAATATGATTGAATTGACATGAGGCTATTCATAGTCTTTATTTGGGCCACTCTGTGTTTTGCTGCAAAAATTTCATTGCGTTTGATTATAGGGTGCTGCCTGAGATCTCACCAGGAGTTTTATGGAGGAAAAATCCAAAAATCTACAAATTTCAAAACATGTCTAGCCCTGAGAGTTTATATGAGAGATTATGAAATTATATGACAACAAGAAGGCCCTTGGTCACTGTCAATTTAAGAAACAAATGCCTTGAAATTTACATGAAGCTGGACCACTAAAATATTAGCAGGTCAAGGAAATCTTCCTACAGGGATGGCACTTAGCTGAGATTTGAAAATATTCTCAGACAAGAAAAGTAGAGAACCCCACTGTGTGACACAACTCCAGAGAGTGGCATTCCCAGTCAGTGCGCCAGCACCAGATGGGAAAGGTTTTTAGGTAGGGGTGACCAGCAACCCATGAAAGGCACAGAGAAGGTAATAAACATGGCATGTCCAGGGATATGTACATTAATGAACCAGATCAGAGAATTTATTTAAGGAAGTATTGGATAACAGAGCAGTAAGATGCAAAGTCAAACTCTGGGTTATCTACAAGAGGGGCCGTCTTGTTTCCATAAAGACGTTGTGTGTAAGCAGAATTATACTCAAAGGCCCTGTGGGGATTTAAACACATACAAATATGTTAAACTTTAGTCCCCTCCACAACCCATCCCTTCCTTCTTTTCTAAGAGAAGTTGCTTGGTACAATGTACGACCAGAGAGGGATTTTTGAAAAATGTATTACATAAGCTTTCACCTTGCAAATCCTGTTAGGTAGAAGGCACGCCGGAAGAGAGAAACCTGATAATTCTGAACTTTTCACTGTGTGCTTTTCTTGCAAAATGAAAACCAAATGGGTTTAAATACCAGCCAGGTGAATGTGAGCATGTCTTAAGTTTCATATACTTCAATATGGGGCCTCATGACCTCAAAAATTTTCCTGCTGCTGTAATAAGAGGTTGTTCAACAAGCCACATACAATAGGACAGTTATCATTTTGATTGCAAGGGGGAAAATAATAGAACCAGAACTATCTAAACTTTGGTTTCACTCATTCATTCATTTATTCATTCAACAAATACATCTTTGAGTTCACTGCATATAGGGTACCACGTTAGGCATAGCTGCAGATGAGAGGTAGAGCAGGCAGCCAGTATTCTAAAAGCAGAGAGAATTCAAGTATTAGAATAATCATACCACAAGTGAATAGGATAGACTGTAATTAGGGCAGTAAAGACAATTAGAGCTTGGTGGAGGTAGAGATGACTTCCAATTGGTGAGAGGGAAGACAAGGAAAGGCACGAGAAAGGAGACAACTTTTGAGCTGGACCCTGAGGGTATATCTAGACAAGCAAAAACGGGACTGATAAGCAAGATGGAATATGAAAGAAGATCAAGGCAGACTGCTAAAATGCACTTGCAACAGTCTTGAATTAGCTTCCAACCTTGCCCTCAAGCTGCTTATGTTCTAGTGGGGTGGATGAGAGATGGACACAGAACCCGAGACGCTGACAGTGTGCCCCATAGCTTCTTGGGTGTCTGCTGTCAGGACAAGCTCCCTCAGCCAGAGGCAGAGTCTGAACTTAATTTCCTCTTTACTGGCTCAAACCACCTCACATATTGAAATAATGAAAATGTGAGCTCTCTGAAGTAATTGTCTGTTGTTATATAATACTCCTGCTTTCCTTTATTTGGAGAATAGTACTTTAGGGAAAATTCCAAGGAGCTGTATGGCACATTCTCTTCTCTCCTCGTGTTGTGATTGGCTGGAGTCCAAGGGTGAAAAAGCAGGGATTCATTAATAATGGAAATAATGTGAGGTCTTATCACCTCTGTTCCCAGAGCAGAATCTTACTTTTTTTTTCTTTTTTGTAAGATCCCAGCCCACAGCTCAGCCCTCCCTTCAATGGGCAGCTAAGAAACTTCCTTCCCTCTCTCCTTCTCACAGCTGTCAACAAAAGTTACCAGCTATGGGTGAACAGAACAGACAAACCTGAGAACCTGTCAGGCACAAGACTTCACCCTTTCTCTGACCTTAGCAGAAATTTCCAAGTGATGTTTCAAAAAGTTAAAATCTCTGAGCTTAGCTGTTACAAGAAATCCAGCAATCATGCATAGAAGAGGTTTTATTGTCACTTGAGGGGAAACACTGAGGCCTCGGGCAGCCCCCCAGGGACACAATCCTCTTGTTTGGGGTTTTGGGCTGGAGGGAGACAGATGTCTTGAATCCAGGAGCAATAAAACTCCGTCCTTTTCCTTCATTTCATGAGAGTTCCTTCAGGATTAGGGGAAACAGAGGTTGCCAACTTTTAAATGTGCTTTCAAGGCAACATATCGTGTGAATTTTCATCCTGTTCTTAAAACAGAGAGGAAATGTTTATATGGAACTTAGCCTTCCGCTGATCCTCAAAAGATGTCACTTTTCAATTACACAGTGGTTTTAAAATAAAATGCCAAGATTTAGCACACGTTCTAAGGCTTCCGGATTCCTGTGTTTCTTTGGTGAGGAGTGAATCCCACTAACTGGTGAGTTAAGGGAAGTCCTCAAACACAGAACTCACTGACGATGCAGAAGTGGTTCTCATGTGTGGTCCCTAGGCCGGCAGCACCAGCAGCACCAGGAGTTGTTGGCAATGCAAATTCTCAGCACCCCTCTCCCCAGACACACTGAATCAGAAGTCCTGGTGTGGGGCCCAGGAATCCAGAGTCTCAGGAGCACTTCAGGTGGTTCTGATTAACCAGGCAACCGCTTCATTAGAGAGCTCTGTGGCTGATGAAGAATTTGCTGAAATCCATAGAGTCAATTAAATAGGCTAAAAGCCACAACCTCTTGTGAACCATTTAGTTCTTTTTTTTTTTTTTTTAACATTATGAGATCAGAGCCAGAGCTGTGACTGAGGGGGGAAAAAAGAAAAAAAGACAAGTCTATGGAGCCATAAACACAGAGCTAAACGGGGAGTAATTCGAGTAAGAGGGTGTGCCAGCTCTGCGCCGGGTGCTTTGCTGAAGGCTTTCCTTTCCGTATCGTGCAGAGAACCGTCTGTTTTTTTCATGTTTTTCAAAACCTATTAAATTAAGGTTTCAGCCACCTGAGAATTGTATACTCACTGAGGGGAATGCCATTCTTGGTTTCCTTTTTAAACTTTATTATTGTTCCTAGGACCACACAGAAGAAGGCAGAGCCAGCATTTACCAGTCTGTATTCACCAACTCTTCCAAAGAGATGATGTGCTTTCCAGACTTCCCGTACCCTGATGACTACCCCAGCTACATGCACCAGAGTAAGCTCCAGGAATACATAAAGACATTCGCTCTAAAGAAGAATTTGTTAAGATACATACAGTTTGAGGTAAGGACCTTATAACTTGTGCTGTTGATATCAGTATGCTTACGGGTTAGAGGACAAACCAGAATATAACACTCTTATCCTAGAAATCCAAATGTTTGCACACTTCACCAGTCAAATGCTGGTTCTGATTGTAAAGTTATGCATGCATTGTTTTTGTTTCCCCTTAAACATGCCCTCCACTGGTCTCCAAGAGCTTTTGAAATACCATAGAAAATGCTGGAGGCATCTACACCAGCATAGTGTACATTCCACCCTCATACGCTCATGTTTTAGAAACAATCCCAGATTCTCTAGTTCATACTTCGACTTCTGTGGTTCAAGGCCAAAGAGCTGTGGTTCAGAAAAACGTTAGCATTCGTTAGAAATTCTGCCATTATGAAGAGAGTAGCAACTTAGGTGAATAATTAATATAGTCATTGCCTCATCCTTCACCCACTCAGTTCCTTAGATTAGGAGCCTTGGGAGTTATGGCACAAAGGCATTGTCTCTGTCAGCAATACTTTACATTTGTATAGAACTCAACTTCCATTCATTACTGTCCAATACAGAGCACATATATGTAGTGAGAAAAATAATCAGCAAAGTTATAAATTGGGATTATATTTAATATAATTGTACTTACTATTATTTTAGTATTTATTATACTTAATATAACATGATTTAATATAATTTTACTTGTGTCAACAAAATAGTTATACTATGGAAGTGACTATTATTTCCAAGAGAGAATGTCTATAGTTTGCAAAGGAGAGATCAAGGATTGAACTCTGAGACAATCCCATGTTTATGGAATATTTCCCATATAATCCCATATTACGGAGTATCCCATGTTTATGGAGAAGATGAGGCCAAAGAAGAAGAAGCCATGAATGTGAGTGGAGAGTGGCAGTAAGCAAATGACACAGGAGTTTTACAAGAATACTCAGTGAAATTTACTCCAAATCTTCTAACTAGATATCAAAAAACTAAATATATCCCAGTGAGCAATTTTCCTTGTGAGATTTGAAAATTCACTGTGACTCCTATTTTAATGTCTTCCCATATGTTTCTCAATGACCAGGAGTGCGCATAACAATCATTTTCTCCACAGAAATACTGAAGAAAACATAAACAAAAAAGCCATAGACTTGTAAATAAAACAAATTCTGTCTGGTTTTCTTTAAGACCCTGGTTTCCAGTATAAAGAAATGCCCCAGCTTCTTAGTCACTGGTCAATGGGAAATTGTTTCTGAAAAGGATGGGAAGCAGGAGTCTGCCATTTTTGATGCTGTAATGATTTGTTCCGGACATCACGTGTACCCCAACCTACCAACAGATTCCTTTCCTGGTAAGCATGGAAGATATATAATAATCTGAGGACTTAAACACAAATATCAAGGATTGAAATAGCTCTTTCCACTAGATTGTACATCGTGATTATTCTTAAGGTTCCAAGTATTTCAAGACAAAATTTTTAAGTCTGATAATATGTGAAATATAGTAATCATTGGCCTCATACTAAAAGAATCAAGGACTTGCAAGTCAGAGATTAGATGAAGACATGGGGCCATAGAGAAGAAACCTGGGTTTTTAAATTTCATCTGTATCCACATTTTGTAAATTAACTTTAGAAATTACTGTGTGTGTGTGTGTGTGTGTGTGTGTGTGTAGTGACACACTCCATTACTGTACAAAAGTGGCAAACATCAAACAAATACCTTACACAAGCAACCTTCCTTCCTTCCTTCTTTCTTTCCTTCTTTCCTTCCTTCCTTCTTCTGTCCATCCATCCGTCCACCCTTCCTTCCTTCCTTCCTTCCTTCCTTCCTTCCTTCCTTCCTTCCATCTATCCAACAGGAAAACATGTCCACTCAAAAATATAAGAGTCCACACCCCAAGGCTTGATGTTCATAACCACTCAAAAATATAAGAGTCCACACCCCAAGGCTTGATGTTCATAACCACTCAAAAATATAAGAGTCCACACCCCAAGGCTTGATGTTCATAAGCCAAGGTAATTAAAAGAGTAGAGATTCAGGAGAAATAGAAGATTGAAACCAGTACTGTGAAGAGGCAGTACATTTACGGGTTCTGAGTGTAGAACACCTGGGCCCAACTCACTCTACTAGATCCTTGCCGTGTGACCTTAGACAAATCACTTAACTTCTTTGTCTCAACTTCCTTGTCTTTTAAAATAGAGATAATACTCGTAGCTACCATTCAGAGATGTTATCAAGACTAAGTGGCTAAAACATGTAAACCCTTTAGCAGAGAGCCTAGCCCGCAGTAAGTACTTAATAAATATTACCTATTAGTACTACCAAATGTAAGTTCAAGTACCTTAAGCTTTTTCAAAGTCTCTAAAAGTAATTATTTAGGGGTTTAGTATCAAAAATCACTAAAAGAAAAAGTATATTTCAAATAAGAAGCTTTTTAAAAAAAATTCAGACTGATAATAGGAAGTTTAAAAATAAAAATTATTGAAAAAGGTAAGTCTTCATCGTTTCTTCTGAAAATCAACTCACACCACTCCCCATGTTCCATGTAGGCCTAGACCAGTTTCAAGGCCGCTACCTCCACAGCCGGGACTACAAGGGCCCAGGCGGGTTCCAGGGGAAGAGGGTCCTCGTGATCGGCCTGGGGAACTCAGGATGTGACATTGCTGTTGAGCTCAGTCGTCTGGCTGCACAGGTATATGATCTAAAAGGTTTGGGGAAACAAACCTAGTGTACAGCTCTGTTACTACAGCAACAGCCCCGGCAGGGAGGATGGCATTTACCATGTCATACCACCCACATCTGCCTGTTGCATATGCCCATTAAGTCAAGGAGGACTTGAGACACTCTGCCTGTGAAGCCAGGTAATGTGGCTCATGCCAGTAAGGAAGTACATTCTGTTGGAACCAGAGGTAAGTGCATGTGCGTGTGTATATATGTCAGTATGCATTTTTTTGTTTGTTTTAATTTTACCCTCTGATCACCTCCAAGCAAACTGGTTGCGAGTCAAGCTCTGCCTTTATTTATTTAACAGGATTTCCTATCACCTATTATGCAACAGTACTGGGCTGACTAATCTGAAGTTCTGGAAGATACACAAGATTTAGTTCCTTCTATTGTTTATCCATTCAACAGCCAATGCCCAACAAATATTGGGCACTTTTTATGAGTCAGCACTGTGTCAGACTAGAAATAAACACAGAAATAAATCAGACTACTTCTTGACTTCAAAGGGCAATCAACAGGTGGAGGTGGGATGACAGATTCCCAGGCCATCACAAAAGGAGGTAATGAGACTTCAATGACATTAGTGTGGCAGTGGTGGCACCATGAATAGAGAACCTGACTTAGTTGGAATGAAGTTATCAAAGGAGGCTTCCCAGAGGACTCCAAGCTGAGTCACACATGACCAACAGACCTGGAAGAACTTAAGCATACTTTTAAGTAAATAAGTGCTCGATAAGTAAATTATTAAATGGATGTTAAAAACTACCTAAGGATTATTTAGTGTCAAATTTCCTTGGGTTACCACAAAAGTGGGAAAATAGGCAAGCAGCGGGCTCATCTCAGGGCTGAGGCAGCTGTCACGGTTTGGGATGCCTAGCAAGTCCAGGAGTAGGGTGTGTAGGGAGGACTGGAGGAGACCAGACACAGAGAACAGAATTAAATCCTTGGCATCTTCTTGGCCTAATTTTAGCTAGGGATTTATATATTTCCCCCATCAACCCAGCAACTACCACCAGTCACCACCACTGAGGCTTACTGGATTACCGTGTCTTTACTAGACCTGTTAGTCTTGTGAGTCTGCAAAGATTAAACTTGTCACAGTTGAATACAGAACCTTCTTGTTCCAAGATGTCAGGTTCGCATTCTTTTAACACCTACACATTCACCCTCTGGGTGAGTTTGCTTCTATCTGGTTTCAGTCATGGACTATTCATCTTGACCCACCTCTTTAAAAATGCTCCTGCCTGGATACTGAGGGAAATGTACGGAGATGCCCATGGGATTCTGTTGTATTTGCTTATTTCTTAGAGTGATGTTGAAATCTATGTTGCCTTCCCCACCAGGTCATTATCAGCACCAGAAGTGGTTCCTGGGTCATGAGTCGGGTTTGGGATGATGGCTATCCTTGGGACATGGTGTATGTTACCCGCTTTGCATCCTTTCTCCGGAATGCCCTTCCTTCATTTGTCTCTGACTGGTTATACGTCAAGAAGATGAACACATGGTTTAAGCATGAGAACTACGGCCTGATGCCTTTAAATGGGTACCACAAATAATACATTTTTTATTTTTTTTAAAAAGTGGGGCACTGGTTTAAGTTGGATTCTTTCTCTCTTTCTCTCTAGGTCTTGGTTTTATTTGCCTTATCGAGGCTGGTGGGATTGAATTAAGGACTGCATAAGTGATAACAGTATACTCAGAGACCACGAATGAGATGAAGATCTTATTGAAATTAGTCTAGTGGGAAAGGGAGTATGAAAGAATACAAAATGGGGATAGAGCAGGCAGCAAGATCTCCCTGACATGCAAGATTTGATTATGGTTGCTACAAGCCATAGCATAGAATTTTGAGAGTGGAGCCAATTCATGAATTGGTTTTTTTAGGACTATCTTGTTCATGTTTACGGATGACTAGAGATAGCAATAATAACACTGATTCCTCAAAACTGCACTTAGTAAAATTTAAAATGTAAGAATTATTGAGGGGAGGGTATAGCTCAGTGGTAGAGTGTGTGCTTAGCAAGCATGAGGTCCTGGGTTCAATCCCCAGTACCTCCATTAAAGATAAATGAACAAATAAACCTAATTAGCTCCCCCCCAAAAAATTAATTTAAAATTAATTTTAAAATTAATAAAAAGCATAAATTGCAATAAAAAATAAAAATAAAATGTAACCATTATCTTATGAACTATAAAGCTTTACATATATTGATTTTATTTGTCTCTAATTTTCTAGTATGCTTCTAAGGAGCAACTAGCAAGGTACTATTAACCAACATGTCTCAGGAAGTAGAAAGTCTCAGAATGAAAGGACACAACTCCATGGAAGAGTTGACATTTCCGCAGAACAGTCAGGAGTCATGGAACATGTAACACAATGGAGGGTCACAGAACTGATGTAGCCTGTCAAATTAATAAGATTCATTTATTTACTTCTCTATAGAGACAGAGCCCAACACCTACTAACAAGAAAGGCTTTCTAGGTAGAAAATCAGTATATCAATTAAAAAAAGAATAAAGTGGCTAAGAAAAGAAAAGGATCCCCTGGGAATTTCACCTTTGGTCCATGCTACAAAAGTATTTCATTAGGTTTAGAGAAACAGGTTTAAAAAAAAGTTACGAGCAAATTGTAAACTGGAGTAGTGAATGTCAGGGTTAGTAGCCAAACCCTCACTCCACAGCCTGGCAAACTGCTACATCCCTAAAGGAAAAGATGTTGATTTCATTCATTCAAAATTATTTTTAATGTAATAGATGTTTCAAAGCTTGAACTGATTATGACTTTTTTTTTGTTATGTAAGAGTAACTGCAAACTGTATTTTGGCTTTCCCCTTCAGACAATTAAAATATAATTTTGGGAATCCATTTATTCTAACTCTTCCCAGGAAGGGTTCCAATTACCATAAGGTGTTGATGACACCTTCTCACTCCCTTGCTGGGGACAGGTTTGGGGCGGTGGGGCTGGTTACCACCTTGTAAGGTAAAAGAAAAGGTTGCAGAATTATAGAGATGGAGAACAGTGTGGACAATAGAAACAAATTCTGAGATTTATAAAGTGTCTTAGTGATTGAGGTATTTAGAGGAAACTCCAGAATCCCTGAAGGAAATGAGTCAAAATGAAGAATGGCATCCAAAAAGGAAAAAATCATTCCTAGAATTTTGGCAATTGAAATGCAGTACCAAAGTTGTTGGACTTTCTTTTGTGACCAGTTGATGAAAGGAAACTAAATGTGTCAAAACAACATCCCACCACGGTGGATCTGATTTCCTCATGTAAAATGAGAGCTTAGTTATAATAGTTCACTTAGAATAATGATGCTTGCATGTACCAGGCACCGTTTTAAGTGCTCTACAGATAATGGTTCATTTGATTCTCACAACAGCCATATGAGGTAGATTCTATATTATCCCCATTTTCCACATAAGGAAACAAATCCAGAGAAGGAGCAGCTAGATTATAAAGTTGGGGTTGAGTTTCAAGGGGCCAACCAAAAGAGGAAGCTCAGACAGATATTCTAAAGGACTGTTACTAGCGATAGAAAAGGAATTGCCAAAAGAAGAGAGTTTAGTTGTCCTCATGCTGACGTTTAACTGCTCAAATTTGGTTTCAATGCTCTGGACTATTGCAGATGTTTCTTGGAAATGAGGTATTTTACAGCAAGGGCCTTTTTCTCTTTTTTCTGCACAGCACCCTGAGGAAAGAGCCTGTGTTCAATGATGAGCTCCCATCCCGCATCCTCTGTGGTACCGTGTCCATCAAGCCCAGCGTGAAGGAGTTCACAGAGACTTCGGCCATTTTTGAGAATGGGACTATGTTTGAGGCCATTGACTTTGTCATCTTTGCAACAGGCTATGGCTATGCCTACCCCTTCCTTGATGACTCCATCATCAAAAGCAGAAACAATGAGGTCACCTTGTATAAAGGCATCTTCCCCCCGCTGATGGAGAAGCCAACCTTGGCAGTGATTGGCCTTGTCCAGTCCCTGGGGGCTGCCATCCCCACAGCTGACCTGCAGGCCCGCTGGGCAGTTAAAGTGTTTTCAAGTAAGTGGGCCATTTTATCTTTATTCATTTAGTCAACAAATATTTACCGAGTACCTACTATATGCCAAGCAATGTGCTAGATGCAAGGGATATAAAGCGAACCAGATAGACAGGATCCTTGACCTCGCAGAGCTGAAAATAGGGTGAGGGGAATGCTACAATAGGGATAGGGTGTTCTGGTGAGGGGAGTTCGGTAGTGAGTTATTTCATGAAGATGGGACAGGATGAGAAAAATGTATGAAGGTGAGGAACAGCACGTCGTGTGTGAAGAACCAGAAATATTGGTGTATTGAAATATAAAGCAGAGTCAGGGAGTGGCCAGAAACAAAGGAAGGAACCAGAGCATGGAGTGCCTTAAAAGCTGTTAAGGAGTTTAGACTCTCAGAGGGGAATTGGTAGGACTTTGCAAGGCTATAAGCAAGAGAAGGACAGCAATGAGTCACTGCAATGTGAAGTTACATTGCAAAGGCTGAAAGGGCCCCAGTGGATGTCGGGGCATGCTGGAGATATTACTGGCGTCAACTGTGTCAGAATAACAATGTCAGGCCACTCCTACTCTATTGATAATCTTTTCCCCATTTCTCCCTCTAAACCCCATGGGCTCCAGGGACTTCAAATATGTTTGTGTGGGGAAATCAAGAATATGAGGATAACATAGAGAAAGTCACTGTCTCAAATATTGATTTAACTTGCTCCAATCATATTGATCACCACTGTTATTAAAAGTGTCCATTTATTCAAGGATTCAAGACTCTTGGCCAATATAGGTATACCTTACCTAACACACTGTCCATAAAAACTTTGACTGTAGGTAATGAAGAGAAAATTACAAACATTTATGTGATGTGATATTTTCTTAAAATGTGGTGGATAAATAAGCTTCTATTTCAAATATATCATTAAAGAATCATTATTTTTTTTTAAATGCTGTCATGAAATCTTTTGTAAGGGTGCTCCTGTATGAAATGATTCCACTGTCTTTTCCCTTAAAAGACACAACAGTGCCAAGCACCTGAGGTTTTAGGGGAAGACTGGAGACAGTTCACAAACCCAAGAAATTTCCATGAAACAGAGGGCATCATTTATTCATTCAGCAAATATTTATTGAGTACCTACTATGCTCCAGGCTCTGTCTTGGCACTTAAAATACATCAAGCATGACCAAAATTCTGGATCCTTACTTTCTAATCGGGGTGCAGCAAATATCTGACCACACTGGGAAGTTTTCATGCAAATGTCCTAACATCCCGTGCCATTGTTACAAAGGCAAATGAGCTAGTTAGCAATTGGAAGAGGCCTCCACTGATACAGTGAAATTTTCAAAAAACTAAAAAATGTTTGCTGCTCTTTAAAGTATCTTTAAAACATCTTCCTTGGCTGCAGACAGATGCTGGAAAATCCGTGCTTTCTCCTGTTGTCCCATTTTAATTGCCTTGGACCTTAGATTGAATTATTTTACCAGATTATTTCTTGATAGAATTTTTAGTAGGAGGATGCAGACAAGAAATATGAAGAAACTGTTAAGCTATTACATGCATGAGGTATATCTGAGGCATGTTGAGGATTAGATCCCCCGTAGTGTCAACAGAAATATGAGGTTGGGCGATTTGAGCTACAGACTTTTCCACTGTCACTATCTCATTGCAGGCCAGCTTTACTATTCCCAGAGCAGGTTCACTGGCTTCTTAGATCATTGTATCTGTGAATTGTTATTCTGCTAAAGATCCCAAAGATAGTTCCTCCTGATACAAAATCTTTTAGGGATACAGTTCATAAGCACTGTGTGAAACTCATCATGTGTCATTACGTATTTCTGATTTCTGTCTTTTTTTCAGTATTTCTCTCTTCGTTTCCTTTTTTAGACTCATGTACCCTACCAACTACAAATGAAATGATGGATGACATTGATGAGAAAATGGGGAAGAAACTCAAGTGGTAAGAGATTGTACTTGCTGATGAAACAAACCCTAAAATTTGCCTTGATAATGTAGGAAAATGTTAGTATATTCTATAATCTTGTCACTAGTCAAAGTTCACATTTTTGGGACACTTGTTATAACCAAGCAGTATTGAATAGGCAAATAATAGCCTAAACTTCTCCTGTATAACTCTAGGGCACAGGTTCTAAAACAGGGATGCCCAGGGGACATTTGGCAAAGTCTGGAGAAATTTTTGGTCATCTCAAGTGAAGAGGGTGTGTCACTGGCATCTAATGAGTAGAAACAAGGGATGCTGCTAAATATCCTACAGTGCAGAGGACAGTCCACCTAAACAATTATCCTGCTCAAAATGTGAGTCGTGCTGAGGTTGAGAAATTACTCTCTTTCCCCAAGAGTTTCTCTCCTGTCAGCCAATTAGTTAGCTGGGAACTGAGAAGTGGCAGTGCTATAATAAGAAAGACAAGTGAAGAATTCAGTTGAGTTCACCTGCCCTAGTACTGTCTACTAAAAGAATATTCACTTCTGATTCATCCAAACATCAGTTTTCAAGTATACCATAAATGGGATTTGTAGAAGGTTAGGTAGCTAGACATCAGACATTTAAATGTACTTTTTTTAATGTTAATTACTTCTATGAAAGTAAATCCTTTTTAAATTAAATATCAAAATCTGCTGAAAAATAATTGGTGTATCACATCTAGATGATTAAGTGAACCCATCATTTATTGACTTCCTCAAGAAAGTCACTGGGTAAGAGCCTAGAGAAGACATGGGTAGCCTCAGACTCAATAGAACCTCCCCTGAACCTCCTCTAGTTCACAGGACATCTCTGTGAACTAGGCACTCCTATGCGCTAACAATTCATGCAGCTTACTCCACTTATTACCCTTTAGGTTAGAGTCCAATAGGAATAAAGAGGAGGGAAAAGGCTTCAGTGTCAATCTTATTTCTTAAATGATAGGCTGCTCTTCAGAGTTTCTAAATGCAAATAAGACCACACTCCAACTAAAAGTATAAAACAACTAATATTAGTAAAATGCAGCAATATTAAAACCATACATAAATTCAACTTTAAACACATCCACATGAAATCTAATATTGGGAGAGATCCTAAGCAACATTATATAAAGAATAATCATGTATTAAAGAGTGAACTAAGTTAATAAATCACCTTGAGTCCCTAGGGTCAGTTCATTCCAGACCACATGGCTAGAAGCAAAAGCCCAAAATGACATCAAACTTGGATAGACATTAGGAAGGAGAGGAAAAAACAAAACAGCTCATTTACAGCCAGAAAACAAATGATAAATTCAGTGTTGTGGAAAAAGAGAGGAGTGGGGGTATTACTGGAGGTGCTGACTAAAATATTACCTTTCTGAGACTAAAAAATAAGAAATTGGTGCTTCTGTTTACTCATTTCGACATTTTCTTTTCTTTCCTCAGGTTCGGCCAGAGCCAGACTTTGCAGACAGATTACATTACATACATGGATGAGCTAGGCTCCTTCATAGGGGCCAAGCCTAACATACCGCGGCTCTTCCTGACTGATCCCCAGCTGGCCCTGGAAGGTGTACTTTGGTCCTTGTAGCCCATACCAGTTTCGACTGATGGGACCAGGGAAGTGGGATGGGGCCAGAAATGCCATCCTGACCCAGTGGGACAGGACAGTAAAGCCAACCAGGACAAGAGCTGTTGGTGAAGCTAAGAGACCACAGCCCTTCTACAATTTGCTAAAAATGCTTTTATTGCCAGTGCTTGTTCTGACTGTTTTGCTTACATTTTATTAATTAGGAAGTTCTTTGGGTCTCACAGTTCAGCCTAGAAGTTCAATTGCAAATGTGTGAGTGTGTGTGTGTGTGTGTGTATAATCTCATAGCTGCTCTTTCCCTTCCTGCAGATGTAAAAATGAATCCTGGCCCATTTGGATCAAAGCCTAAATAAAATGGAAAATACTCAGTCTCTCCTTTTCTGATAAGAATCTGTACTCTAAAAGGATTTTCATGTACTGAATTGGCAAAATTGGAGATGCTCAAGAGGGTAAATGAGAGTGAGCACAGATTTGCAGGCTGAACAAAGTTTAATAAACTTTTTAAAGTGTGTTTTGTCATGGGGAGAAGTGAAATCACGATATTGAGTCTTCCAAACCATAACCCATATATCTCTCCATTTATTTAGATCTTCAATTTCTCTCATCAGTGTTATAAAGTATTTAGTATACAGGTCTTACCCATCTTATCTCAGATTTATCCTAAGTAGCATACGTTTTTTAATGTTATTATATATTAGTTCATTTTTTAAAATTTCTTATTGTTTGTTGCTAATATATAGAAATGTACTCATTTGTTCTAGAAACTTTATGTAGATTCCATAGTATTTTCTATGTAGAAAATCATGTTGTATAAAAATAAAGATAAGTTTACTTCTCCCATTGCTATTTGAATGTCTTTTATTTTTCTTGCCTTATTGCACTGGTTAGAAACTCTAGTATGTTAGATAGAACACACTAGAGATCAGATATCCTTGCCTTGTTCCTGATCTTAGGAATAAAGTATTCAGTCTTTTACCATTAGGCATAATTTTAGCTATAGATTTTTCATAAATGCTCTTTATTAAGTTGAAGAATTTTTCTTCTATCCTTATTTGCTGACAATTTTCATCAGGAATGGACATTGGATTTTTTCAAATACTTTTTTCTGCATCTGTTGAGATGATCATACGCTCTTTAATGTTTCTTTAAAAATATGGTGAATTCTGTTGACTATTAAGCCAATCTTGCATTCCTGAAATAAAACTCACTTGATCATGATATATTATCCATTTCATATACTATAGGATTATATTTGTTACCATTTGCTAAGAATTTTTGCATGTTTATTTTAGAGGGATATTAATCTGCATTTAATTTTTTTATAATACTTCTGTCTGGTTTTGGTATCAGTGTAATGATTGCCTTACAGAGTTGGAGAGTGTTCTGTCCTCTTTAATTTTCTGGAAGAGTTATATATAATTGGCATTATTGCTTTCTCAAATGTTTGACAGAGTTCACCAGTGAAGTCATCTTGACCACTGAAATTCTTTGTGGGAAAAAATTTTAACTACAAATTGAAGTTTTTTAATAGATGTAGGGTAACTCAGCTTATATGTTTCTTCTTGAGAGAGCTATGTTTCTTTCAAGCAATCTGTTCCTTTTATCTAGAATAATTCAATGAAGACAAGACAGTCTTTTCAACAAATGGTATTGGAACTCATGATATGAAAATAATTGTGATCTAGAAACTTACAGAGACACTTAGGGAGAAAAAGGCAAATGATATTTTGAATGGGGATGTCTATGCTTCAGGAACATGTTTTAGGGTGTGAGTCTGCTCCCCACCCCAGATTCAATCCTGGAGAGATGTTTTCCCCAACCAAGGATCTGATGGAAGTGTGACTAAGTGCAGTGTTAGTCCATCAGACCTCGAATATTTGAACCAACTGGAAATTTCTTTGGCAAATTGGAGTTGTTGATATCTTACTCAATCAAAAGGACAGCGTTAACTAATTTTATGACCTCTATGTACTTGGTAATCTATGTAATAAACAGACATAAGCATGTCTCCTCCCATCATCTTTATCAGTTAATGCAAAATTAGATGAGAACAAAGAATTGTTGTGGAGTAACAGAGGACTAGAAAGCATGCTAACTCAAGGGCATTTCATTCTTCTGACTGGGTACTTAGCTGGATCATTGGTGAAATTCTTGTTTGTATGTATGAGAATGTGTATATGTAGGTGTGTGACTTTTATGACTGAATCTAGCATAAGGACTATAACAGACAAACTCCTTAACAAATTGAATAAATAAAATCTTTTTTACCAGTTCATAATCAATGATAAACACTCATTTTTTTCTGCTCCAGTTATTTTATTCATATTAGTTAGTACCAAAGACATGATCTATTAGAAGGAGAATATACACAAATGTATACATTGTAGTATCACTCATTTTAGCAAAACAAAGTGGGGAGGGGAGGAGAAGGAGAGATCTAAATATTTAACACAGTAATGGTTTAATGAATAATGGTACCTAAAGCATAATGAAATGTGAAGCAATTTTTTTGACATAAAGTTGATTTATAGTATTGTGTTAGTTTCAGTTGTAAAGCAAAGAGATTTGGTTATATGTATATTTTTTCAGATTATTTTCCATTATAGGTTATTGTAAGATACTGAATATAATTCCCTCTGTTATACAGCAAATCCTTGTTGCTTATCTATTTTATGTATAGTAGTTTGTATCTATTAAGCCCATACTCCTAATTTATCCCTCCTCCCTTTCCACTTTGGTAACCATAAGTTTGTTTTCTATGTCTGTGAGTCTGTTTCTGTTTTATATAGATTCATCTATATTATTTTTTAGATTCCATATGTAAGTGATAACATAATATTTGTCTTTCTCTGACTTACTTTACTTAGTATGATGATCTCTAGGTCCATCCATATTGCTGCAAATGGCAACATTTTATTCTTTTTATGGCTGAGTAGTATTCTATTGTATAAACATACCACAACTTCTTCACCCATTTATCTGTCTATGGACATTTAGGTTGCTCCTACGTCTCGGCTATTGTAAATAGTGCTGCTATGAACATTGGAGTGCATGTGTCTTTTCAAGTTAGAGTTTTTTCTGGATATATGCCCGGGAGTGGGATTGCTGGATCATGCGGTAACTCTATTTTTAGTTTTTTTTAAAGAATCTCTACACAGTTTTCCATAGTGGCTGTACCAATTCACATTCCCACCAACAGTGTAGAAGATTTCCAAATGGGGTTTTAAGTAGAGAAGTGTCAAAAATTAAATTAACAATATAAGAAATTTATCTGGCTCCAGAGTGGAGCATGTTTAAGTGGGCAAGAGAAGAAATAAGAAAACTGGTTAGAAACCCATTGCAATAATCCAGGCCTTATTTCAATAATTCAGAAGATATGATAACTCCAAGAATTATGTGGCTGAAATATCCCTTTATTGTATCTATGAAAGGAGAGTTTCATAAACAATTAATATTTTAAACAAAATTGTAAGAGAAAGCTTAAACTATTACAAGGTACAAAATTTTTAAATTACTTTGGAAGCAATCGTGTTCCCATGACTAATGTGCTGGTTTTAAGTGATTATTTATTTTTGAAAGTGTGTTCTTGAAAGACTTTGATTGGGCAACAATGGGTCTAGTGGCTCAAGTATGTGCAGTACTTGGCAAATACTATGTACTCAATAAATATTTACCAGACAAATGCACATACCATTATCTCTTTAAAAATATCCTCTCATTCAGATATTATACCAGTTGACTAGCTTTACTCACTTCCCCAAATTTCTATGAATTAAGTCTTCTATCCATGAAATATTCTCACAGAATAAAGTATGAGTTATAATTCTACCATGTATTTTACAACATTTAAAAATAGACTGGGAATTATCCTTGATTTATAAAGTTAAATCATATGCTTTTAAATTATACAAAGTATACTAGAATTAAAAGTCATAAATGTGCCTGCAGAGAAAAAAGCCAGCAAAATTCAAGTTGTTTTCCTAAAAACTGGTCATATTGGAGATGTATTGTTAATGAGATTTAAAGGATTTGATTAAACATAACAAAGAACTTCCTGATAGTGAGAACTGTTAAAAGAAGAATGAGTGACAAAGAGAAATTCAACATCTCCTTTTCTAAGAGGCTTTATAAAGACAATAATCCTTTATAAATCTCACGACATCTCTACGTAATATTCACAACATCATGGATCGAGTGTAAGGTAAAGTTGACTCTTGATATGACTTCTGTTTTTAAGTTTGAGAAGAAAATGAATAAAGTGAAAAATATTTCAACAGGGACCACTTAGCCTAGTTAAGAAAACAAACTAATCAGGTACTATAGTAGCACAAAATCCACAAAAATTAGGAATTATGGCAAATATAAATGATGAACTCTTTGCTAAGAAAGTGCCCTCCAAGGTTCTTATTACATTTGAAAGTGAATTATACTGCATGCATTTAAAAGGTAATCATTATTCAAGCTTTTCACTGATTTTCACTGATAATCTAAAAGGCTAATGCTAGTCAGTCTCTTTGCCTTAAATTCCAAATTGGTAGGATTATATCAATAATCCTCATGGCACCTAATGAATTAAGGTACCATTTCAATTCAAAATTAATGAATACTTTATGTTATAATTACTCAGCAACTAGGACATGCAAAGCATTTTGCTACTAAGGAAAAAATAGCTGCCTTTCAAGAACTTATTACCTAACTGGATACATAAGAAAATATGTCAGCAAAAAATCTGGAGTAGTTGAGGACAGTGACGGCTGTAAGGTGAGCCCCATCCCAGGATCTCCTCATCAAATAATTTGAAACAATTAGAAATAAAAAGTAATTCCTACACCAAAACATGCCTTCAGTGTGACTTAAAGTCAGACCATGCCAAAACTGTAAAATAATCGTGACTAAAAGAGAAAAATCATCAAATCACAACGTGCAACTTCTCACTTTGCCACCTCACCTGATCAAGTTGTAAGACTGTAGAGGCTGACCGAGAAAAACTCCATGGAAGACAGACGGAGGTAGTGAAGGGGCCTAAGGATGACGTAAACAACCTCTAAGTTGATGACATTCACTGTACATCACAGAATACTGGAAAAGCATCTAGGCAGATCAGAGCACAGACTACAAGGAAGGAACTTCAAATACTAGAAATCTGAAGAACTAGACACCATTTAAAAGAATTGGTGCAATATAAAGAGGAGCAATTGGAAAAGATAGATTACATTTAAAGAAACAATCTTTGAAATGCATAGCTCTGGGGGAGAAAAAAAAGACAAAAGAAAGGATGACAGCCTTTGGAAATTGGTGGTGAAGGGGAAAGTAAGAAAAAGGGAAAAAGAAAAATTTAAGAACCTGCAAAACAAAAAACAACCATAAAATTGGAGAACTCATAACCCCTCTACCACCATTAAAAGAAACAAAGAAAACTGTTAAATACCTGAACTTTTCTATTCTTTCAGAAGAAGGCATCATTAAATGAGGAATCTAGTAAAACATCACAATATCATAAAAATAAAAAGATAAAGGTTATGCTATGTCTAGATAGATAGATGAAGGGAGAAAGAGAGAGAAGTGAGAGAGAAAGAAGAAGAAAGAAGGAGGGGAGAAGGGGGGAAGAGAGGGAGAAAAAAAGGAAGGAGGAAGAAACAAAGAAGGAAAGAAGGAAGGAAAGAGAATCAAACACAGAGATCCACT